CAATGTAATGAAACAAGCTATATGAATGGTTGAATGTGAAGCTGATGATGTGCCCTGTAAACTTTCACTCAATGCAAAATAAAAACATTTAATTTAAAAAAAAAAAAAGTTATTTCCATGCAATCCTATTACAGTTCACATTAAGTCACATTTTAATTTCTTTTTTCAGGGGTAACAATAGGTGCAGGATACAGCCTGGCTCAGTTAAAAGATGCTTTACTCTTCACGGTTTCGGAGCAACCACAGGAGAAGACGAAGACGTTCCATGCGCTCCTGAAGCATCTGAGGACACTTGCGGGACCCCAGATTAGGAACATGGCGGTATGCTCTCCACTGTTAGGTTAGAAAATCAGTCATAGAGAGCCATATGGTGCCGCTCAACTTTATCAAAAGTGACTTTGAAGAGGAATTCCAGGTCAATTTAAACAACTCTTTACATTGAGTGTGAGTGTGTGTATAGATTCCAAAATGCGAGGTATCACACTATGTGTATCTGTGTCATGTATGTGACACAGTGACTGCAACAGTGGGCTCAGACATGGCAACAATTTTGAGGTTGTCACAGGGCAGGGCAGCATTTCCTTCTGTAGTAAGCAGGGTTGCTGTGAGTTGGAGTGGATTCGACAGCTCCGGATGTGCTGGACTGCAAAGTCACTTTGAACCGTAAGGCTCAAGCTCACCAGTCACTCCTCAGAAACCCTACACAAGGTCGCTATCAATCAGAACCAATTCAACAGCACTTAACAACTACAACAACAAACAACATGGAGTCCTGGTGTAGCACTGTGGGTTAATGCACTGGACTGCAAAGTCAGTTTGAACCACAGGATGGGTAGTTCAAGCTCACTAGTCACTTCTCGGAAACCCTATACAGGGTTGCTATGGGTCGGAACTGACTCAACAGCACTTAACAACAATAACAACAGTATATATAGTTAGTTGTTGTTAAGTGCCGTCCAGTCAGGTCTGACTCATAGAGACCCTGTGTAGGGTTTTCGAGGCTGTAAATCTTTATGGGAG